GCAAGGGCTCATCATGACAGCCTCCAGAACCATGTGCCTAAGAAGAGTCCAAAACAGTCTCAGTCTCTTAGCTCTTAACAATATACTGAGGCTAGGAAAATCCATTAACTACCCAACTACTGGGAGGAATTCAGCTACCCTTAGGAGAAACAGAGGCACCTGACAGGCTTGGCAGATGACGTCCTTATCCCCGCTTTTCAAAAAGACCTGGTTCTTTAGACCTGCCCCACCACAATCAGGGTTGCAAAACCTCCTTCACCTGCAGGGGCAAAGTTCATTCCAGGTAAGCTTTTCAGGGCAACATTCCCATGAGCCGGGGCTAAAAGTAAAGGAGGTGGCACCAACAGCCCAACATATTTCAGTTTAAAGCTCCTAGTAACTAAGCCTTTCCAACATTTTAGAATGGGGCAAATTACATAAAAGCCAAGAAAGTGTCTTACAATGGAAAAAAGGGTATGGCTTTTGGGAAAAGCCAGATTTGGCCCACTTGGCTAAATGACTCTCTGTCTCCCCACATGTATAAGTGTTTACATCTTTCAGGAAACCTATTGTACTTCATCTTGTCTGCCAAGAAAATTCCTTTCACATTGTGCACAGAACCATAGCGTGTCACAGAAGATGCTGAGACCTCTTAGTAGGAGCACACTGGCATACTCGGTTCCTGCAGGGTACCAGCCAAGCTTGCAGAGCTTATCACTGCTCCAGTAGAACGACTGTGCAACCTAAGAATATTTTTGCATTAAGAAACTCCGGTAAGTATCTCCTGTAAGAACAGTTTGCAAATCATTGCCTCAAAGAAAGTGCATGGGAGCTTGTGTTCCTCTATGCTAGTTGAAGTCCTGATCCCAGAACTTTCCTGACAGGAGTATTTATTACTACATTGGGAATACATCACCTGTGAAGCATCCTTCACAGAGGACTACCTGAAATGTCAAGTCTATGATTAAACCTCTGCAATTCCCTTTTATAGCAAACCCTTTATCACCAACACAACAGAGGCTGTGTCTTTAATTGCATTAAAGAAATGATCATTGTGAGCAGTTACTGGCAATTCATAGGTCTTTACAACCAAACAGATCTTTTATTACACTAAAAAATAATAAAGCACGGTTATATCCCTTTGACACGTATTTGTTCACACTCAAACTAATGGGTTGACCCAAAAACTGACTGCGCTGTAAGCTCCGGTACATTTGGGTGCTGGGAAGCCCATTTTGCTAAAGGATAGTCTTCCAGAATGGACATTCCTGGATGGAGGGGCCTTCTTACATTAGGGCCCTTTGGGGTTTGCTTTTCTACAATCAGCTGGAAGCATAATTGTAATTGTGGCTTTGTGTTACACACAGTGTAGTGCTGCTTATCCCCCATTGCAGTCCCCACAGGTGAAGGTAAATGCAAGCAGTTGTTACTGACCTAGGATTGCAGCCTTATAGTAAGAGCTGAGCTATGTTTACTCGGAATTAGTTTCCTTTTGATACAATAGGACTTTTTAGTGGAAAGTGGACTGTGGGTTGCAGTGTGTCAGACAGGGCTGCTGCTATTAAATGGAATAAAAGCAGGCAGAAGCAGACAGTGAGCAAACCATCACCAGCAGCTGTCACAATCCAGAAATGGAGGCATCCCACCCACTGACACATCCAAGTTTCCTGGCAGAACAGAAGTAGCTCCATCACCATCACTGCAGATAAGCCTCCTTGCCATCTCCTTCTCAAGCAGCCCCGTCTGTGACTGTGCTGGGACAACAGCAGTGTGGCCAGGACATTTGAGAATGGACACATGCTCCTGCGACTCCACTCTAGCGGGCACATCAGGGGATTCCAGACATCTGTGACTGCACCTTTTAATATCCGATGTTGAATTGTAAAGTTACAGAGAGCACATGACTCTTGTTACAAAACCTTCACTGGCTGCTGGGCAGAATTCAGAATGCTGGCTATGATCTATTACGGACCTATATGGCTCTGGACAAGGCTACCTGAAAGACTGTCTTCTCCCATATGAGTTTGCCTGGGTCTAAGGTCTTTGTGAAAGACTCTTCTTTTGAGACCACAACCACCAGAGGAGCATTGCGGGTGGTATGAGAAAAGGCCTTTCGGACGGCCACTCCTGGGCCGTGGAACCCCCTCCCAAGAGGGGCTGGGTCAGCTGCCTCTCTGCTCTCCTCATCTGGCAGGCAGAGGCCATTTTATTCAAGCAGCCCTTTGGCTTCTAAGTGGGCCTGTTGGGGGGGGGGGCGGGGTGCTCTTCTACTTTTCCCCTTGTAGTTTCATGCGTCGTTTCAATCAATTTAACTATTTCTGTAAGTTGTGTTGAGCACCATTTTTGCTAAAGAGGTGGGATGCAAATTAAATAAATAAGCAATAATATAAATAACTATGTCTTAAACTGAGAACCTTTGGATTCTGTTCAGTGTACCATACCTTTCCCGACCCTGCAACCTATTTCTGTCTGTGCATGCACAGGATTCACGATGCCTGCAGTCCACTAGTTGACCATCCCAGGTTCTACTGATCCTCCACTGCTAGACAACAGTAAGATATTTCTCTCAGCCCAAACCACCTTTCTGCATGCTACTTATGCATCCAGTTGAGACATTTCGGGGACAATCCTGTGCAAGTTTAGACAGAAAAAGTCCCGCAACTCCCAGCAGGACTCCGCCTGGACAAGAAAATATATGATCTGGGATAAGAGGGGCGCTTCTAGATCCATTGAATGGACTTGTGCAATTGTTCTGCCTTTTCCTCCTGAACTGATTTTGTGCATGTGCGAGCGCATATGTTAAGAAAAAGAAGCGGCAGTGGAAGAACGGAGGCGTGTTACAGATGGAACATTATTATTTGTTTGTCGTTATTTGTTTTTCGGCGCCAGGCGAAGACCTTTTTATTTAAACGTCATTTTAATTGTTAATATTATTTGCTTATTTTATCTGGCCAGGGCGACTTATTTTATATTGTTAATTTGTTTTATATTCTGAATGTATTATATTTTAATTTTATGTTGTGAGCCGCCCTGAGGCTTCGGCGAATATGGCGGCATAGAAATGTTTTAAATAAATAAATGAATAAATGAAACATGGTGTCATGTAGCCTTGTCTAGAGGCACTCCTTGTTCCCAGAAAAAGTGCATAATTAATTGGGGATGCTCCCATTTATTACTTGCCTTGAATATCTCCTCTTATAGCCATTCCATGCTCCGTACCACAAATCTGATCCAAATCATATTTAGCATAACTAACAAGCAGGGAAAATCAAGTTGGTCTGGAGTTGTGAAACTGACTACGTCGGGTTGCCTGGTTAGATCCAGTTGTAGAACTGAGGAAACTATAGGCTGGGCTTTCTCAGTGGAAACTGATCACAACCCAATCCCTGGCCATGCTTAGTTGGAAGCCTGCTTACCCGCAATCCTCTTCCCTTATGCTGCACGCACTCTTTTTAAGACAACAGCTTAAAATAAATCATAATTGTGCTGCTTTTTTTTAAAGGAAACACACACACAGAGAAACCAAGGTTTTAAAATATGTTGGAAGAAAGGGCATGTGTGGTGGCCAAGATGGGTAGGGAAAGGAGAGGGAACAATGTCGGCCACTTGCCAACACCAGGCCAGCTATGGGGATGAAACAGGGAGAGGCACCCACTGAAAATGTAGTGGTCCTCCTGGAGGCGGGATGGTCAATTGCAGTTCTGCTTACAGCTTACACTAAAAAGCAATCATTGTATAGCAGTTGAAGGGCAAGTAATCAAACTGGTAGCATATCAAAGATGCCCCAGGTCAAGAATGAGGCCGAAGTTGACATGCTACCATACAGTTGTATATTTTCCTTTGCAAAGTACTCTCGGTGGACCAGCTGTGCTAATCTGCATACTTATCCATTCTCCTGAAAGCTGTTTTTCCCCCCTGAAAACTCCCCTCCCCTAAACGGCTTCTCCTCCATGGGGCACTAGACCAGGATTTATGCATATTCTTATTTACTAAGGTAGAAAGTTGTCTTACACTGGTCAGGTTCATGTGACCAAGGTTGGGGAATATGCTGTGATGACTCATTTCCTGTATCCCCCTGTGCATGCCAGGGGATTTGCAACAACTGCCCACAACAGCCACAGCACAGGTTGCTGTATCATGCTGAGGGCAATTCCTGAGACTAAATTATAGCCAAGCTGGCTTGTTGGTATGGGTAACAAGCCACTCAGAACCCCAGTGCTGTTGTAGGGGTTTGCATGATGTGACAAGCCACACTATTGAAGGTAATTATGCAAATCCTTCCAGCACACGTGCTGGCAAGGGGTGAAGAATAAGCCATTATGGTGCAGAACTGATCCGAAACCTGCCATCCACAGACACAACACTGTTGTGTTGTCCAGACCTGGGAAGGTGGCTTCCTTAACAAAGCACCCCACAACCCTACGACAAGCCATGAATTCTGCATGGTTTGTGAAGAATGCCAACAAGTCAGCCTTGCTGACTTTGATGACACAGAAAGTTGCACTCAGTGATGATAATTATGCAAATCAACTGGCCTCTGACTGACTGGGTTTACAGAACATGAGGCAAGACAGGATGTGAGAGGTTCACGGTGAACCACGTAGCATGTTCATTCATCTTACATAAGCCACTTTAGCTGGTTCAGACACCACAAACTACTCTGAAACAAAGACTGCTCACGGCCCACCAGGGTTTATCTCGTGCCACTGAGCTAGACCACTGGGCCTTCTCATCCACTACTGGCAACTCTGACTGGCAAAGACTGTCCACATTTTCTGGCAGGATCCTTTCCCAGACCTACCTGAGGATGTCAGAGATTAAACCTGGAATGTTCTTCATGCAGAGCATGTACTCTGTACTGAACTATGGTCCGTGGGGAGTCATATATTTGTAGAGTTCTGTTGGACTGTGTATTCCAATTATCCCATTCTTTATTTTTCAAAACATGACTTCTAAAATTAAAATGGTAATTTTGCCCTTCAGAAAAATAAAACAGTGCATTTACTTTTTAAAACACATACCGTTGTGACGTCAGAGTTTGGGGGGGTCATCTCCACTAGGTTAATGAAGTATGGTTCATCCTTCCATACTGGATAATTATCATTAATGTCCAGCAAAGTGATGTTTACCTGAAAAGAATCACAGTTGTAAAGCCATTTAAACAAGCACCCCTAAGGACTCCTAGGTCTGCACTGCAAGCCTGGAAGAATTTTTAACAGGTTATAAATGCCAGACAGGAACGTGATGGCAGTTTCTCACAAGATTTTTCCTTGGTTGGCTTTAGATGGCATGATACTGCTTGCCCAAGTGCTAAATATGGACCGTGTATAGGTTGTTGTTGAACCATGGGTTGCAGCTGAACTGTGGATTCCTATACTATTTTTATTATTATATTTTTTATTAATTGTATTTCTACACTTTAATAGCTGAAGCACTGGGTGGTTTACAGTGAAAGATAAACTAAAGATACAAAATAGCAATAAAGCATTATTAACATACAATAGAAATTTTAAAAGCCAAATTTAAAACCACAATTAAATCATAAGACCTCTTAAACAGTTCATGTAATGCTCCAATATAATATAAAACTAATTAAATATCCCATCATAGAGGACAGTTTTAACCTGGCACTGAAAAGATATTAAAGTTGGTACCAGGTGGGCCTCAGGGAAAGCTTGTTCCATAATGGGGGGGGGGGGGGGCTGCCCTTTGACTGTTGCTATCAATCAAACCCTTCTCAGAGGTGACAGTAAGAAGCAGGCCACAGATGTTGATGATAGTATCCATGGTGGTCCTAAGTCATGTAGGACTTCAGAAGCTAATATCAGCACCTCAGATTAGTCTGGGAAGCAAATAGGACAGAATTGGTGTTGTGTGCTCAGCTTTTCTGGTTCTTGTTATTTATGTGGCTGATACACTTTGCACAAGTGGCAGCTTCTGAACAGTCTTCAAAGGAAGCTCCAAGCACATTGCAGTAATAGAGCTTAGAGATGGCTGAAAGCAGGATATCCCAGTACAGTAAAGGCACAGCTGGGCTTTCAGACAAAGCTGACAGAAGGCATGCCATACCACCTGGGCCTCAAAAAGATAGAGATGACTCAGGAACACCCCAAGCTATCAACCTGCTCCTTCACAGAATGGGGGTGCAGCCCCGTCCAGAAAAGGTTGAACTCCTTCCATGTTTAAATCCAGTCAGATTAACTAAAAATGGTTTGTTAACCACAGTTCACAAACCAACAACCAACCTATGAGTTCTCCTCATGGATTGGTTGTTGTTAAAAAATCATGGTTTGTTTGCACCATCACAACTCATATTTCAACAGTTAGTCACCTTTCAATGGCTATCAGGTCCAGGGCATGGGCTGTAGGTACATGTGCAAGGTAGATTCCTGCAGCAGGTTCACAGGCCAGAAGCAAGAGGCAAGAGTTCAGGGTCAAAGCCAGGGAGATGATAGATCCAAGCAAACACAGCCCAAGATCTCACAATCCAAAGGCACAGTCCAAAAGTCAACTTTCAAAAAGACCATCACATTCAAGAGCCAGGAGAGGTCAGGAAGGATGGGTGCAGGTACCTGGGAATCAGGGGTCAGGCTGGAGATGAGGATGGAGGCAGGAACAGACTGGAGCAAGGCAGAAGGCAGGAAGGCGGGCAGGCAGGGACCAAGATTCAGGCCAGGGGAGGCAATGCATAGAGCCAGAGCACAAGGGGGTCACCAAGACAGCAAAGAGCAGCAGTGTAGGGAGGCCTCTTTGCTGGTCTCCGGGGCTTCTAGCTGCACCGCGTAATTGCTCCTCAGTTGTTCCCTGTCAGCGCCGGCAAAGGTATTCCTGATTCTGCAGGCACCGGCAGGGCCACTCAGGCCCTGATCCTGTCAATGACCACCTGTACTAACCCATACTCACCTGCTGCATGTTCCCTGATCACAGTCCTTGTGGCCGTCTTGATGCCCCTGACACACACAAGTTAGCTTTTCGGCAACCTGCAGTCTCCCCAGCCCACTTCACTCAGCAACATCCCAGCTTATTTTCACTCTTTATTCTGGCAGAGGAGATACTGTTAAAAGGAGCTTTCAAACTTCCATACTCAGACTTCCTAACAACAGTGCAGACACCTCAGTTTACAGCAGCACGAGTCACAATGCATAAAAGAATTTGCATGATTTTCTTCCACCCCTGTCCTCTCAGCCACTTCCCATGGGTTATCCACAATATGTGAATAATGCTGATGAACACTTTTATCCTTTGCATATTCTTGTCAATGGGAGAATGTTATTTCAGTTCCATGACTGAACTCATGAGGCTTGAGTTTAAAACTCACATACATCACCTTTTCTTTTGACAGTATGGTTTAACGCCAGTGCTGTTAGCTCTCGCTAAAGTGTTTACAGGGTCAAACACAACAGCACTTCATCACAGTAGTGCCATCACATGTCAGTCGGTTCACACACAATTACACAACAGGGTTCCAAGGAAACCCTGCCTCATTGTTTATAAGCAATACTAGTGCCTTCTTCCCAGTGATTCCACCTGCAAGTAGGGGCAGCTCAATGATTGTTGGAGAGTCCCTGTCCATCCATTGTTAAGTTTTATGTATGGCCTGGAAACGTTGGCTTGCCTCTCCCCTAGCAAGCCAGAGACATAATGAACTGTTGTTAGATTATGACTCTGGATTGTCAGGAGAGAGATGGTTTCTGGTACACGTGCTATGCTGAGCAATCCTTGCATCCGGGAGGCAGCAAGCCTGGGCAACAGGGGGAGGCAGGGGCCCAACACAATCTGGAGGGCACCAGACTGGGGAAGACTGTGCTAAATAAGCCACAGGTGGAAGGTTTGTGGTTTGTTAGCTGTTGGGGCTTGCAGCAGAGGCAACAGGGCAGCCTTTATGAACATGGTGCTTGTAAAGCTAGGCCAGTATTCCAGGGAAGCCCTGGCAACAATACATGCAAACTGAGCCTCAAGATTTGGAGCACACGTTACAGCAGCTATGGGAATGCTGCTCAAAATGAACACTCCATTTTATCATTCCTTTCTGGCCATAATATCTGCCAGTGCAAAATGGATTGGTACATCATGCTTTTAACTGCCTTTCAATTAACAATGTCCAGGTTCAAACAACAACAACGATCAATAAAACAACAGTTGACAATAGTAAGGAGAAGCACTAAAAACAACCATAGCAGAAATAAAAATACATCAGAGATTAAAGCCTGGGAAAGTTAAAAGGTCTTTAACTGGCCCCCAAAAGCAAGAATAGTGGGGAGACATAACAGAGGTATATAAAATTATGTGTGATGTGGAGAAAGTGGACAAGCTTCTTTTAGATAGCTGCAAGTCATCCAGTGAAACTGAACTGTGAGAGATTCCAAACAGAGAAGTGGAAGTCCTTCATCACACAGAATATACTCAACCTATAAAATTTAATTCCATCATGAAATGGTAGTAGTCACCAACACAGATGGCATTAGAATGAGATTATACAGGATAAGTCTATCAACGGATACTAGTCAACTTTCAGAATCAGAGGGTGTTACTGCACCCTGTTCTACTTGTGCACTTCCCATAGGCAGGTGGATGGCTAGTATGGAGCAGCTGACTAAATAACCCTTTTGTCTGATCCAGAAGCACTCTCCTTATGTTCTTATTCTCTTATGGCATCTAAAAGATACTGGCAGTGGTGAAGAATGTTTCATAAAGCAGGGCAATATAACTGAGAAGGCCCTCTTGCCAACTCCTATTCATGCCACCTCAGATGGTGGCAGAACTTCAAGAAGGGCCTCTGAAGAAGCTTGTTGGCTATTCATGGACAAGTTGCTGTGAGAGGTGATGCTCCTTCAGGGCACGAAAGATGCAGGCTAAGTGACAGAAGCTGACTGGGATCTATTGGCGACCATTAACAAATGTTCATTCCCTGTTAGCAGCCTAGCTACTGTCTAGCAGAGCAACTGCAATTTCTGGCATGAGTCTAATGTGGACATTTTCAGAGCACAGATATCTGTAGCCAGGCTATCTCCGCCCAGAAGAGGTTGCAGTTGGGTCCACATCAGCTTCAGCAGGTGAAAGGCACTCTATTCCACTGAGATAACATGAGCCACTAGTGATAGTGCTGAATTAATGACTACGTTAGAGTGGAAACCTTTGTCATCAGGGCAAAGATGAGGAATCTGTGGCTACAAAGTCTTCCACATTTGGCCAGCCTAATTCTCAGTCCTTTCTCCACGCAGCCCCTTTCCACTCTGCTTATCTGATTGGCTTAGCTGCACAGAAAGGGTGAAGTTTGAACCTCCCCATTCAGCAATTCCCCCTTCCCTGCACTGTTCAGTGGACAACAGATAAGCATGGGGAATGGCTTCAAAATCCTACAGCTGATGGGGGTGCGTGTGCGCATGTGCGTGCGTAAATCACTCTTTTCCTCCATCAGCAGCTCACTCCATTGCTGTGCTGGACACTGAGAAAGGAAAATGTGTAGATAGATGCATGTATATGGGAGGTGGGATTTATGTAAATAGATCAGTGTGATGAAACTAGCATCATTTGAGGTCATGCCTGAATATGAGGAAGCCTAGTGGCTAGGATCAAAGTTATGTTACATTTGGTTCATGGTGATTTCAGTCTATGATATCAATGCAGTTTTGAAAGTTACCATTAGGTTGACAGTGACCAGTCCAATAAATAAATACTTTGGAAGATACAACTGCGGTGCAGATGGTGGATCACTTTTGGTGATACACCCAACCCTAAAATTGCTCTGGCTCTTACATATTGTAGATTGATGCCAGAAGTCATATAGTCATGAAGTCCTAAAGGATCAAAAAGCCACACATTCTAAACTTTGCCTGTAAGGATGGACTATCTATCAGTAGACCATCTCAGATCAGCCTGACCAAACCAGACCACAGTATGCAGTAAGAACGGCAAGTAAAAAAGCAATGCACACCCTCCAAGTCACTGCCAATCTCTGTCCTTATTCATCAATCCCATTCAGAGAAAGAGAAACACAGATGGGCAGACTTCAGTATGTTGCATGCAACACTCTTTCTCTAGATGTAGCAGTTCTAGATGCCACATGGAAAACTGGGGGGGGGGGGGATTCAATGTGGAACACAAGAAAGAAGCCATGCAGCCTCCTTCG